ACAAGACCGCGAGAGACAGATGATGATAGATTGGGGGGGTCTACGGGAGCCATGATGGCTAGGTCTACCTAGACACTTCCTATTCAAATAGCCAGATAGTGAAAGATTTTAATAGATATTTTAATCAATCATTACCGTAGACTGTTAGTAAAATGAGCAACTGTCAGTAAATTATTCACATAGTCAGTTAGTTCACGATTTTTAATAGTTACTTCAATGGACAGTTGAAATTCAATTGTTGTTTAATAAACGATTGAAATAGTCGCTTTATTCAAGATTTTATCACATAGTTATTTAATCAATTATTACCAGAGGCTGTTAATAATATTTTAATAGATTTTTAATGTTTAAATAATTATTATCTTAGACAATTAATAAATAATATGCTCAACTATCAAAAATTATTCAGTCAGTTAGTTCAAGATTAAAATAAGTATTTAACTAATTATTTCATTTGCAAACGTATTCTTTTATCCAGTTAGTAAATTATTTCAACAGAATGTTAAATATTTCAAAAGACAGCCAGTGAGTTCTTCCAACACTCAGTCAGCAATGTATTCTAACTGTAATTTAGTGAATCATTTCAATAGAATGTTTAAAAATTGTATGTAACTCAGTGAATTATTCAAACATTCAGTTTGTAAGATTCGATCCGATAATTAGTAAACTTATTTCAGTAGAAAATTAAAACAGTTTTTATAGTCACTTAGTGACTTTGTTTTCAATTATCAGTTGGTTAATGGTTTCAATAGTCAATTAGTAAACACTTCTCCATTCAGTTATTCACGTATTTCAGTTTTCAGTTAGTTCTGGGATTTTGTATCTATTAAACAAACTGTCATTATAATTACAGGCTGATGATTATTCATGTAGTCAATTACCTCTGGTGTTTTTGTTCTTTGGTTGGTCACTAAGTCTTTCCTTTAAACAGTTTTTTTTACCGGTTGAATAGTTATTTGGTTGATTATTCTAGCGGTCAGCAAGAAATGTTTAGTCAACCGTCAGTTCATAAATTTAAAAAAATATATATTACAATTTTAAAAACATTCCCGTATGGAAATTCGGGTTACAGTGGCAAACATTCCTTCATAAATAAATGCATCATTATGTATGCAAACATACATAA